GAAGAAGGGATCAGGTACCAAGGATGTGCCTATGTTTCCCGGCATGTGTGGCATTCAAGGTGGTCTCTATCACTAACCCAATCATTTTGCAAGTTTTCATGAAATGATCCAGCAATTGGACCCCAATTATATAATATGTCTTAATAAAAAGTAGTCATACATCCAGTAGACCTTTTTAATGCACAAATTATAGTTCTTTAAAGTAAACTTGACTAACAGTGGCAGTAGACAAAGCTTAATGTCCCATAAAAAAATGTTAACGATGTCAGGTTACGGTTCCACAGAACATTTAGATAACCTGTTGTATCAGAAAATTAAAATTGAGGATTAAATAAGTAACCTTACTAATGATAGATGGCAATAGTACAGTCCATGCTTTTATGTGTAGGTGACTACCCTCACAGTCTCTTCACAACCTTCCAAATACTATGTAGAGACCAAATATATACCCCACACGCGAGGGCACTGTGCTGAGTGGACGAGCTGGGAGGAGAGGGGCAGGTGCCCGTGGCTACAGAGAGCAGACTGGTGGTTGCCAGAGGCAGAGGGCAGGGCGAAGAGGTCAAAGGGTAAAAATAAAATGAAAAACAACAATTTACAAAACCCAAACAATCAAAGGAGATATCACAAAATCCATGCACAAAAAGTCCTTGAGTTTATGTTACATACCCTTTTAACAAGTTGGCTGGTTTCTTAACCCATAACAAGTTACAAGTGAAAAGAATGGTCAGATCTACCGCACGCTAGGGCCTGGCAATACGTGATTCTCCCATATCACAATTTCATCCATCCTCAACCACGGTGGAACTGCATTTCAAACTTTGTACGTGAGGTCAATGGTTAAATAGGAACCGCTCTATAGGAAAGAAACTCGGAGCCAGCTTTTCTGGACGGCCACTATAGCAGAGGCTATTGATCCATCTTGAGCCACATCAGATGACACACAGAACCCAGTAGTCCTTGGGCCTATTAACTTCGATGACATGTCACTTTAAGCATTTTATTCTGTGTCCCGCTGACTATTCTCAACCTTGTTCCTTGAATCTTAGTCCAAACTACCATCCAATTTCACTTGGACTACTTTCTAACTGCCCTCATCACCACCCAAGAGCACCCTGCTCCAAATTTGTTTTTCTTGGACTAAAGATCCTGGTAAAACATAGATTGGATCATGTCTCTCCCCTGCTTAAAAATCCTCTAGAAGTTTCTTGTTGCCCTTAGGACTGAGTCCAAAATGATACTTGGAATAACCTCTAAGGCAATACATGATCTAGTTCCTTCCTACTTCTGCCTACTTCTCCAAACTCATTGCACTCCACATTCTGCCTTTCTCTCTGATACCTCTCTACCCTGGCCTTTCAAAAAAAAAAAAAAATATATATATATATATATATATATATACATATATATATATATATATATATATATATATATATATATATATATATGTGGTGTGCACACTCCATATTCTTTCCCATTATAACTAAAAAACCCAAAGAGTTTAAAAAATTAGTATGTGATTAAACTCTACCCTTTCTCCCTATAACTGAATAAATACAGCTCTGAAAAGCAGAAAACAAACATGTTTCCTACTCTTGCTGACTGGACAAGGCAAACTCATTTGATAAAAAATGAGTGGCATACTGAGAATGATAAACATAGGGTATGAATTGAACCACGGTGCTCAAATGCAGGTAAACAGATACATGCTCTTAAAAGATAAGTCCCTGTTTTCTGGTCGGTGTCAGGCTCGCTTTGCTCAAATTCTTTTGTCTCAAGTCATTCCACAGATAAATCGTGCCATCATCTCAATAGATAATAAAAATAAATATTACTTATTAGGTGTCTACTATAGTCCAAGGCCATGCGTGAGCAGTTAAAGGCTTAGCTCACTGCTGTTTATAGAACCTCTCTGAGGCAGGAATGACTGCTATGTCCATCTGACAAACCAAGAAGCTGATCGTAGCTGCTCAGTGACAGAGCGGTCGGTCAGCCCCATGTCGCAAGCACTGTGCCAACTCTGCCCTAAAATGCATTTGACGGAAGTCAGCACCCATTCTTTAAAAAAATAATAATACATTCCTAATCAAAGGAATAGAATAATAATTGCTTAAGATAATCAAAGCTCCCTTAAGCTAATACCACCTTCAAGCCTACTAGCAAATCACTGTAGGTATTCCTATTGTATTCAGGAATAAGAATAAGATACCCTGGTAATATTCTTTGGCACTTTCCTCGAATTTCTGATTAACACAAATAATGGCAGAAAAACAGAAACTATGGTTATAATTATTCAAAAGGATAAAACCACTACTTCTATATTCTACAATTAGTTTATTAACTAAGCTAAGCCAATTACACGAGGCATTACAAGAACTAAAATAGCAAGTTCTATGAGATGGTTTGGAACAAATGATAAATAAAAATTAAATAACCAAAAATTATCACATGCATCATTCTACATCTTAGTAATACGTAGAAAAAAATTATCTAGTCCATATTAATGACAACATTATATAATCAGAAGGAATATAAGGAATGTACTGAATTTGCAGTAAATTCAATTAAGCCAGATAATTAAATAATTTGAGAAGTATACTTTATTCCTAGAGAGAAACACTCACTATATACTACAGAGATATTATTTTACCAAATTTTGAATTAGAGAGAGTGGAAGAGAGAAAGGGAGGGAGAGAGAAAAAAAACATTGCTGTGTGAGAGACACATCAATTGGTTTGACTCCTGCACGACCCCAACTGGGGGCCAGGGATCGAACCTGAAACCCGGGTATGTGCCCTTGACCGTAATCGAACCCAAGACCCTCAGTCCAGAGGGTGGATATTAACCACTGAGCCAAACCAGACAGACAACCATTTTTATTAGTTCTCGTGGATCCTTGAAAGTGTCCTTATGAAAGGCAAGCAAATTTAGAAATATAGGCTTATAATCCCATAGTCCTTATATAAAATCAAATAACTAGTATTTTATAGGAGGTTAAATATTTTTATGAATTGAAATACTATTTGTGTTCCTTTGCATGTAAACTTTCCTTTCATGATTTTTGCTCATTGTTCTATAGCTTGTACTTCCCCACACCCTGGCAATTTGTAACAGAGAGAAAATTCTTGGTGATTTGAGAGGCAATTTTTTTTTTTTTCCAGTTTATTATTCTCCCTTAGAATCTCCCAAGAGTAGCTGGGGTTTTTTTTTTGGTTTTGTTTTTATTTGTTTTTGCCACCCAAAGGATTTTTTTAATGAGTCAGATTTATCTCTTTTTCTCTCTTTTAGATGCTGTTATAAGATAATAAAAAATTTTTCAGATTCTTTGGGGTTTTCTAATTATTAAGTCATCTACAAATAACAGTTTTACTTTCACCTTTCTAAATGTTATCCTCAAATTTATTTCCCTTGTCCAGCTTCGTTGACTAATAACTCTGGCAGAGCAATGCTACTAGGGGTGAGGACTGTGCACCCTTATTTCGCTTCTAGTTATAGCAGAGACCGCAGAAATGCCCCGAGCACTTTGACATTATTTGTAATGCTCTATCTGGGCTCAGATGTGTGTGAATGTGTGTGTTAGTGCATAAATAGTCTGTCAGTTTTTCATGGTTATAAAATGGTTCATGGTTATAAAATGTTTCACTCTTACATTATTGAGCTGTCCTTTTTAAAACAAACAAACAAACAAATAAAAACCATCCAGAATGGCTGTTGAATTTTGTCAAATGACTAGTCAGCATCTACAGAGATTAACATATGCTTTCCCCCCCTTACATCAATGAATATAATAAATTACTCTAATGGAGTTCATGATCCTTCATTTGTGGAATGAACCCTACTTTATCATGACATATTGCTTCTTTAATGGTTGCTGGGTCGATCACTCAATCCAGCAATACCTAGTAAGTGTTTACCCCTAAGTGTCAGTAAGTTTCTTGAGTTTGGGGAATTCTTAATTAAAATGCTAGGAAACAGAGCAGTTTCAAGGAAGAAGAGGAAGTTAGAGGATAAGTTTTACTTTGTAGGGAATTATAAGAAAAAAGCATGTTTCTCATACTTTTTCTTTCAATTTATGTTTACTTAACTGTTTTATGAAGCCAGAAATGATTGCCCAAGACAGGAATCACCTTTTTCCTCTTAAGGTTCTTGTAAAGAGTTTTAGTTTTCATAAACCCCTTTATTTCATTGTCCATCCTGATCTATACACATGTCCCAGGATTTTTTTCTGAAGGAGTTAAAATAAGTAAAAGTAAAAAGGAAAGGTGTGTATTCACTCTATCTATCAAGAGAAAGTTGGTTCCTTGGATTTCCATGTCGGTAGCTTTATTTTATTTAGTTCTTGAGGCTGAACTTCCTTTTACATTGTTTCCAAGTAGTTTTCAAAAGTTGCAATAAGCTATTCAAAAAACCTAATCTACATTATCTTCTGACTTCTTGACATTGGTAAAAATCATTCAGAAATCGAACAGTTGAATTTATTATTTAATTTATTATTTAATTTTAAGCACTCCAGTGCCTTCAGAATTAACCTAAATAATAGCAGAAAATGAGATACAGAATGTCTTCATCTCACATGCCAAGGGTCACATGCTATGACCCACAGGCCAAACCTCACCCACCATCTGTTTTGTAAATAAAGTTTTATTGGAAGAAAGCCACACCCATTCGTGTCTATGGCTGCCTTCCAGCAATGAGGCAGAATTGAGTAGTTATGACAGATCATTTGGCTTACAAAGCTTAACATATTTTCCACCTGGCTCTTTTCAGAAAAATAAAATAAAATTGCCTATCTCTGATACATGCAGTGTTCTCTGTCCTTAGGAAATGCCTTTAACTATTCTATGACAAATGTCATTTTCTTTTTTAATCAAGATGCTCATATAAAAGTTTCTGAGTATATATGTAACTTCACCTGGTTCGCCACATCTTTGTTACTATTAATTACATACTTCCATAAAAAGATCTATACTGCCTGAGATAGTTCTTAAAACCTTACTTACATGACTTCCTGTCAGCTGGCTATATGTTAACATTGACGTCTCTGCGTCCTGTGACGTCACCAGCATGGTGCATGATGGAGCACGGCCTCAAACAGCCAGATAGCCATGTGCAGAAATGGATTCTGTAGGAGTCAATGGGAGGGATAAAAAGATTTAAAATTATGTTTTGAATGATTTTTCCCTTCCTGAGATCTAGTTCCCTCCACACCGATCACACTAGAATAAAACAGGAAGATTCAAATGGAGAAAGCTCCAGAAGTCGAGAGGAATTTCTGGGGGTTAATCTTTCCTAAAATCTCCAGACTTCCCCATAACTTTCCTCAAATCCATGTGGACCACAGATATTTCATTTTGCAAGACAAATCGTCATACATTATTTAAAATAAAGTATAATGTTTCATACAGTCCTCCAGTAAAATGTTACATTTTCTCACAAAAAAAGCACAAAACAAATGTGATGCCAAATGTATTTGTGGACTTGATGTCAAGTTACTGACCACCTCTCTAAGGCAGGTGCTGAGAATAAGTTGCAAACATCTATTCTAAGAGTGAAGTGACCAAGTCTCCACTCAGACATGCAGTAGCAAAATGCATTATACATCATGTTTTCAAGGAATATGTAATTTTGAAAGGGTTTAAATATGCCAACAGATTATACCACTAGGAAACCATAAGGTAATATATTTTCTATTTTAAAGGCAGTATAACTTATTTATGTTATTTTAAAGAGTTAAGCATTATAATTCCTATTTTATGTAATAAATAAACACCTTAACCAAGGTTCGGTATGGTTCATGATATAAAGAATAAAAGAATATCTGTATTAATAACAATATTGTATATATAATCTTATTTCTGACTATTACTGATTTAGTAAATTTTAATATCATTTTAAGTCTAAAAGTTTAGACTTTCAATATCTATGCTTATACACTGGCACCTTCCTGAATTATTCATTTAAAAATATTTACTCAAAACTGTATACAAGGACCTATATTAGATGCTCTAATAACTGGTTCTAATCCTTAAGAACTCACCAACCAGTGGAGGGAAAAGACTTCAAACAACTAACTAATGCTGTTAGTGTTTCAACAGAAGAGTGAAGAAAGCCCTATGTAAAAGTAGAGTGAGGACATTAATCCTATAGAGATAAGGAAGACAAGGAACTTGGACAGACTTCAGTGAGCAGGAACATTGAGTTGGCCTTGATGAATGAGGAATGTTACTCTAGTCTAGGCAAGGAGGATGTTGCTTGAAGAGCCTCGGAATTCAACAGGGTGGGTGGGGAATGGTATTTTAACAAGGATTTTTGTTGTTGTTGTAAATCCTCACCCAAGGATATTTTTTTCCCTTGATTTTTTTAGAAAGAGTAGAAGGAAGGGGGAGAGAGAGAGAAACATTGATGTGAGAGAGACACATTGACGGGTTGTCTCCCACATACGCCCCGGATGGAGCCTGGGATTGAACCTGCAACCCAGGTATGTGCCCTTACTGGAAATCGAACCCACAACCCTTCGATGTGCAGACCAATGCTCTAACTGCTGAGCCACACCGGCTTTACATTTGCCCTGGAACAGGTGGCCAGATCCAATGTCGGGGAAAGAAGCATTAGGTTGGCCACACTCTAAAAAGAGTTCCACAACTATGTCCAGACAGCTGCTCCCGGGCTAACTCAGAGGTAGGCAAACCCTTGTATGTCTATGCTTTGAAAACCATTGACTCTACCTCAAGACCCCGTCCCCAGTCTATGTACAGGGTCCTAAAACACCAGGCAAGGAAAGGCAAAGATCGAAATCACCGGCCAAGGGCAGGATGGGAAGTGCTATGGGGCTATACACAAGAGAGACTGTGTTATGGACTGAATTTGTCTCCCACAAGTTCCTACACTGAAGCCCCCACCCCAGCGTTATGGTATTTGGAGATGGGACTTTCGGGAGGTAATCAGGGTTAAGTGAGATGGTAAAGGCAGGGCCCTCATGGTAAGATCTGTGCCTTTGTAAGAAGAAGCACCAGGGAGTTTGCTTCCTCTCCCTCTGCTCAGCACGTGAGGACACAGTGGTGAGGAAGAGAATCCTCACCAGAGAACTGAATCAGCCAGCAACTTGATCTTGGACTCCCCAGCCTCCACAAGTCCAGGTATTGCATATTTTTTATGACAGCCTGCGCTGATTAATACACACTGGCATTTTATCTCTTAGCTGAACATCGTATCAGCTCATGGAATTGCTGGCTTGCTCTTACACTTACCTGGCAAAAGAAAAAATAATGGAGAATAGTATCAGATGTTTCCAGCGCTCGATTCAGTAAGGCTATGATCAAGCCTGGTGGCTTTGTAAGGGCACTCAGATCATCAGACCTGTTGGGCTGTACCACCACGGGAGGTTAAGCCTAATCACCCACAGAGACCCAGAGAAGAAGCCACTATGTGTGTGTGGAACTCACAGAAGAGCCCAACTTTGGAACCCTCCCATACAGAAGATATCAAAGGTTAGTTGCTGTAAGCCAGGAAAAGCAGCGACAGCCAATAAAGGATGGCCTGCTTAAGCCAGGAAACATCTGGCCCTTTGGCCCAATGCCAGTCCCCAACTCCCAACAATTAGACTTAGACAGGAGGCTGGAAGGCATGAAGTATGGACCACACGCTCTTCCTCCTACTAGGCCCAATTATAACTTGAGCTGGAGGAACATACGGAGATGAGATTAGGACTTTAAAGAGACGAGACAAATAATTGGAAGTGAGCAGAATACTTTCGGCCCTGACGCTTCTGTGAATGGATAGTTGTAGATGGATTATGGATGGAGTTGGTTCCAGAAACATTTCAGAGTTCGCACCAATACCTCTTGGTACATGGATTAATGCTCACCCCCTGAGCCACACCAGCCAGGCCTGTTATGGAATAAAAAGGAATCGTCTATGATTGTTAAGAAAATATTAAAAATTAAAGGCAAAACACTGCAGAGTATTAGAGAGCAGAGATTTCAGCTTTTTGTGCAGTCATATATGGAGAAACTCTGGGGAAAAAAGGTGTCACATATTCTTCAGAGTTAGGTGGGCAATGAGCTCCCTGAAGATAGGAACCATAGCTTATTCGTCTAGAATGCCCCAAACCTGGCACAGTGCCTGGAACAGAGCGGGCTGTCACCAGTTCAATGTTTAATGAAATCTCATTGCTTCCATGTGGCAACAGATTTGACAGCCTTTCTCTTTAATGTGGAATCCAGGGAAACTCTAGAAATAGAGAAAGAATAGCATATCCTATTGATGTATTTCCCTGGCTTGGTTTTCCCATTAGCTTATAGTCTGCAACATCCAAAAAGTATCCAGAGCTATGCTGTGTAATGTAGTAGCCATTAGCCATATGTGGCCACTTAAATATACACACAAGTTAATTAAAATAAAATGAAACTGAAAATTCACTTCCTCCATTGAGCCGGCCACACGTCAAGTTCTCAAAACACATGCGGTCACTGCTACCGTACGGGACACAGACGATGCAGAACCTTTCCATCACTGCAGACGGTTCTGTTGTTCAGCACTGGTCTGGGTGTAGCACAGGCTCTGCTTTCAAACAGATCTGGGTTTGAATTCTGACATCGCCACTTGCCAACATGAAGGTTTAGGGGAAGTTAATGAATCTCTTAGGGCCTCAGTTTCTCCCTCTGCAGAAGGGGGGCAATCTGAATACCTATCTCACTGGTCAGAGTAAGGTTCAAGTGAGTTCATTCATGCAGACTACACAGAACAGGCGGTTCCAGCCCCCCACAGGTCTGGCAACGGGAAAAATGGCCACGAGCACCCGTACTGTCCAGTTCAGTGTTACTGAAGAGTCACTTCACAATGAATAAAACCTGCACTGATTCCTTTTTCGGGGAGGTCTTGCTATGAAAACTGTCGGTGAACCACGCATGTGCGTTAGTGATGTGACTGACTGACCTCTTGGTACCCGCTCTTTCTTGGTCAAATACTGAACACACACATTTTTACAATTTGGATGGCGACAGTCTAGCTGGCCAGACATACCCCTTGATATCGTTTTCAAATTCACACAAATAAAAAGGCTTTCAAATGGCCATGAAAAGGGCGCAGCCTAATACAGCAGAACCGAAGCAGAACAGACAGCTGGGTCAGTCAAGGTCCGGTTTCTATAGCTGGCAAATTTGAGCTAAGTTTCGAAGAACATAAGAGTCACGATGGGGGAGAGAGATAAGTGGACCAAGAAATAATACCAAAAGAAGGGAAAGAGAAAGAGGGGACAGAGCTGTGTAGTGTCAGCCCCTGCAACAAGAAAGAAACACTCTCCTTTTACCCCTGTGAACCTGTGGCTTCCGACAACAGAACACCAGAGAGGTCCAAATCAAGTAGGGGCCAGTTTTCTGCCTCTTTGGTCCTACTGTGCAACATCTTCATCTGATAGGAATTATAAATATACATAATTTTTAACTCTCTCGCTCTCTATATAGCTATTTTGGTGACTTTCTAGCCCTTCAAACATTTCTAGTTAAAGATAAACAAAACCAACCAACAGAAAGTTCCAAAGTGTATGTTTGAAAAGAATTTTCTTTTTTTTTTTTTTTGACTTGTTCAGGTATTTATATAATCGATTAGATCCATCTAATAATTATTCTCCACCATAAAAATCAGTCAATCATTACCAAACAGTTTTCCAGCACTGCCACAGTGGGTACCTGTCTAACTACTAACGTGTATGTGGTGATTGTGCAGCCACAATGGCACCCACCTCTACGTGGAGGCTTGGTGCTGCAGTGCACGATGCTGTATGACAACTTGTAATGACACACGCTTCTTACTGTCTGCTGATAAAACCTATCAGTGGAAGCAACTGCTTAATTATGTCACATATGTCGGGCTGGCCAACAACTGGCTGGGAACATTTCTGATGCTTCTTGCCCGTCCCTTACGGAAGAAAAGAGGTACGGTTGCCACCACCCTCAGAAATAACACTTACAATTCAGCTAAAGAGCCTAAGGCAAAGCTGATCTTTTAGGAAACAGATGCATTTTAGACCACATAATCCCTCAGTGCCCAGTCTCCAGACAGTTTTATTCGAGTTGGTTGTCACTCTTCCTGTGTTTAATTATTCCTGCTGACGAGGTCTCTGGT